TACAGAGACTGGTAGGACTTTGGGTCCTGCTTCATCAATCCAGAATTTTCATCTCTAAAACCACAGAGGAGAATGAAACACAGTAGACTGTTAGTTAAAATGAAATTTTTATAAGACTTTCTGGCTATATCCCCAAATGCACAGACAACAAAAGCAAAAATAGACAAATGAGATTACATAATACTAAAAAGCTATGCAACCGCAAAGAAAACAGTCAACAAAGTGAAAACAATCTGTAGAATGGTAGAAAATATTTGCAAAGCATACTTCTGATAAGGGGTTAATATCCAAAACATAAAAAGAACTCAACTCAACAGTAAGGAAACAAATAATCCAATTTAAAAAATGAGCAAAGGACCTGAATAGACATTTCTCAAAAAGATATACAAATATCTAGCAGGAATATAAAAAAGTGCTCAATGTCACTAATCATCGGGGAAATACAAATTAAAACCACAATGAGCTATCACCTCATACTTATTAGAATGGCTATTATCAAAAAGACAAAAGATAAGTTTTAAAGAGCATGTGGAGAAAAGGGAATCCTTGTATATTCTTGGTGGGACTGTAAATTAGTTTAGCCATTATGGAAAAAAGTGTGGCAGTTCCTCAAAATAATTAAAAATAGAACTACCATATGATCCAGCAACCCCAGTACTGAGTATATATCCAAAATATATGAAATTGGTATGTTGAGCTATCTGCACTCCCATGTTCATTACAGCATTATTCACAATAGTCAAGATATGAAATCAACCTAAATGTCCATTAGCAGATTAAAAGATAAAGAAAATATCGTATATATACATAATGGAATACTATTTGACCTTGAAAAGAAAGAAATCCTGTCAATTGTGACAACATGGATGAACCTGGAGGACACAACGTTAAGCAAAATAAGCTACGTACAGAAAGACAAATACCATATGATCTCACTTACATTTGGAATGTAAAAAAGTCAAACTCATGGAATCAGAAAGTAAAATGGTGGTTATCTGAGGCTAGGGGTAGGGGTTTTGGGAGATGTTGGTCAAAGGACACAAAATTTCAGTTAGGAGGAATAAATCCATAAATACAAGAAATATATTGTATATAACGTAGAGTTAAAAATAATACATTGTATATTTAAAATTTACTAAGAGAATAGATTTTAAGTGTTCTTACCATACACAAAAAAATGATAATGTGAGGTAATACTTATTTAAATAGTATCATTTAGCCATTCTACAATGTATATATATATCAAAATACCATGTTGTACAACATATATAATTTTTACTTGTCAATTAAAAAATAAATGAAATACAAATTAGAGACAGTAGAAATTAAAAAACTAAGTTTTTATACAACCCAGAATGTAAAACAATTTTTTAAAATGGTATATTTATTATCAGGATGTGCTTATTTTTAAAGTTTAGATTCCTAATATTTCCATACCATAAATTCAGTCAAAAAGACTTTCGAGTCTTTTGATGAGTATAATATTTAAAGATGTAGTTTGAATAAACATCATTATGTCAGCCCTCAAATCCAGTTGTACTGTACAACTAACAGAAAATACTGCACAGAAGTCTTAAGATAGTTACTTCTAAAGAAATCATTTTTTAAACACTCCACCCTTTTATCTCAGGATACTCTCAATTACATAGAGAAAAACTACATAAAATGCTGTAAATTATCAACATAGTTAATGCATTTATAATTTCCAATATGTTAAAAAAAACTTGGTATATTTTTAATGTGCAGTTTCACATTATTTGTATCTTTGTGTGAAATTTTAATAAAAATCTTATGGAATGGCATAAATACTACTATAGGTATACAAGGGGTATAGATTTTCTTAGAACAAAATATGCAAACCCCACAAAAATAAAAATAAAAGCAAATTTTATTGGGTACTTACATATTTAAATGTAAGTTTGTAAAGTGGGGAAAAACATTTAAATTTTTTTCTGGTTTAATTATAAGAATACTATCAGAATCCTTGATAACAGATTATTCCTTAATATTAAGGATTTTATTATATAAGACTTTAAACCAATATATAAAAACAACACCGACCTATTTCTTTCTACTAGACTAGGGTTTCTTAGCCTTGGCACTACTGAGATTTGGGGCTAGATAATTCTTTGTCGTTGGGGGGTGCTGTCCTGTGTGTTGTAGGCTGCTTAGCAGCACTCCTAGCCTCTACCCCCCTGCCAAGTTGTGGCAACCAAAAATGTCTCCAGACATTGCCAAATTTGCAATGAAGGGCAAAACTGCCACCTTTGAAAACCACTGTACTAGATCATTCTCATCACCACATATGCATATTCCAGTATCTTCTATCTTAAAAAAATAAAATATGCCCTTAATGCTACATTGTCTTCCAGCTAAAACCTCAATTCTTTGACTGCATTCAGAGCTAAAATTCTAGAAAGAGCTGTACATATGCCCTGGTTCCATACCTCCAATGAACTACTCAAGATACTGCAATTTAGTTTCTATCCCACCACTCTATGGCAACTGTTCACTGAGGCACTAGTGATCTCCATCTTGCCCACCCCAGAGAAGATTTCTCTTTCCTCATTTCAGTATTGTTTTTCTGTAGCATTTGGACTAGCTGGCTACCCTTTCCTCTTTCCTCTGACTTCTGCATACGTATTCTACTATTTTCCATACTATAATCTATGTGCTGCCACACTGCACTCTTTCTTCTCTATCCTTAATATTAGAGAATGTCAGGGCTTGGTCTAGGCCTTTTGCCTATCTACATTCTCTCTATATTTGGTTTCACATAAGCCCCTGGCTTCAAATACCTATCTATGAGCTGATTACTCCGAATATATATCTTCAGCCTAGACTTGTTCCCTTGGACTCCAGGCATATTTATACAATTTCCTAATTGATAATGACAGTTACATAACTCATAAGCATCTCAAAATTAACATGTTGAAAAACGAGTTCTTAATAGATGTAACCCCTGCTCCATATAACTTTATCCTCGTATTTTTCCCCAAGTCTGTAAATGGTACCACCACCTACTCACTTGCTCATTTCAGGAAAAAGAAAAATCAACCACCTGGAAGTTATTCTTTTATTACTCCTTTCTTTTCATCTGCTGTTTCTTTAAGTATCATGGAGCCCTGTGTTTTCCAACTCCATAATGTATCTTAAATGTATCTACCTCTCTCCATCTCCAGTACTGTCGCTCTGGACCAAACCACCACAGTATCTTACTAGGGACACTGCAGTTGCCAGGTCTTCCTCTTTCCTTCCTTCCCCACATCCAAACCATTCCCCACCCAGCAGCCAAAGCAGTCTCTTATATCACTCTTCTGCCTCAAACAACGGAACAGCTTCAGGTTACTTGTGGAATAAAATTCAAACCCCTTTCCACTGCTTATGAGGGTGCCTGCCTCCCTAACTTCACCCCCCTCCCACCCTATGACCATGTGCCAGAATGGCAGGTCTCTTCTTTGTTACTAGAATGTGACAAAACTAATCTCCTACTGGGCCCTGGCATTCATTTGATCCAATGAATGAAGAGTGCCAGGAACACTCTTCCTCTGCTCTTTTCATCACTTGTCCCTCAGGGCTCACCTTGCAAGTCACCTTACCTAACCTTTTTGGACCACTCTAAGGAAGCCTGCCCCATATACTGTACCTCATAAGGTGGTTATTACCTTCATGACACGTACTAAAATCCATAAGCATCCCTTGCACTTGCTGATGTGCTCACATGTTCACATATCTGTCTGGTGCACAGAAAAAGGCTTGGTGCTTGACACGTGCTACAATGAGCCTCACTTAGATTTCACTGTTCATAAGCCCAACACTGAGTACTGAGCTACTATCAAATGCCTAGAATTGAATCAGGCTTTTGAATAGTAAAAATAAGTTCAAAGTAAATAATACTGTATTACCATATTAAATAAATGTATTAAATGTGTCTGATTCACCTGAACACTTTTCTGAAAAATTTTAAATTTTATTTCAGAACAGGGTAATGTGTGGCCATGGGAAAGTAAAGAGAAATGTATATTAAATATCAGTACAACCTGGCCCAGGTTGTTATATAATGCCAAGCATATTAATCAAAAGTAAAATTATAAATCATATATTATGGTAGATGCTTATATATATTATGCATACAATATGTATGTATGTTAATTTGATCATTCTCTTTAAAAGACAGCTAGATTTCTAGGTAGATCTATAAATTTTATTTCTTAAAAATCTTTTATACATTTATGTGCATTTACAACCATTAACTGTTTCAATTTCTAACCATCCTGGATTTATTTTAGATGGTCCTCTCCTAAGAGAACTTCTGAATGGTCCTCAAATGTTAATATATCATTGAGCTTACTTGAAACTACTTAAATAGAAATAAAAGATACAACAGATATCAAAACTAAACTCACTGTCTTTCACTCCCCAAAAACTATAACTTCTCTACTACTGATCAGGTTCTGCTTTTTATTCATTTATGTATTTATTTAAGAAGCTTTCAAGAGCACCTACTATGAGTACCTCACTCTGTTATCATTCTTTTTCACCTGTAAATCCCTTTCATTCCACCTCTCTCCCTATCAGTCTCTTCTACATGAATGATAATTCTAAATACCCTTTCAGGAAGGCCTTCCCTTTCCCCAGAGACAGGAATGTTTCATTTGTTATGATCCTCATGTGTTCCGCAGGTGCTTTTGTTCTAGAAAATAACTCAACTGATTTATCACAAGTAATCCATCCTTCAAACATTTATCGAGGCATTTATTTAGGTCCTAAAAACTAAGGTGAAGTTCATGCCCTTCATTTTTAAAGTCAGGGAAAGGCTGACATGCAAAGAAATAATTGTGATATAAAGTGGTAGCATAAAATTTAATACAAACATAGATTTATTATCTTTTTTCTTCCCCATGAGAGGAAAGAAGACATGGCATTGCGTGTAACAACAGTGCTCTGCACAAGGTTGTTAGTCAACTGTATACAGAAGAAAGAAACCAAATGTAACTTACCGAGCGTCCGGAAAGGTCTCTGACTTGGTAAGTGGGAGAAGAAACCAGGCTTCAGTGCATTTGTAATCACAACGTCAAAAAGGTCTGTAAAATCATTCCTAAAAGCAACACAATTTTTCATAAATTTATTTTAAGAATTAGAATAGGTCCATATAAAACAGAACTTGATTTTTGCTTATCTATTTTACAACAGCACCATTTATCTTTTGATTAACTTTTATATGCTTTATATTTTTCTCACACTTTAAGGTGAACATTCCATTGGAAATAGAAGGTAGTTGAGTACTAGTCTTCCTGACAACTCTTTGAAGTATAAACATAATCAGGAAAAAAAGAAAGCAGCACATAGACTCTAGGTACCAAGCTGGCTTTGGCAGTGAAGTCAATAGTTTCTAACGGTTGGAAATATTTGGAAAATCTATCTTCAGATTTGGGGGCCTGCAATTGGCTGGCTTTGTTAGCTTGAAGAGTTAACAATTTTGCGTGTTACATGGGTCCCACAGAAAGCAGCATTATAGCAAGTCATGGTCATCTTTCAGAGAGTGCTTCAAATATGAAGAAGATACTTTATCTGACAATCAGTGTAGTCTTATAATGTGGTAACTTTTATATGATAATAATTAATGATTTTAAATCTGTACTTATCATTATATTAAGGATTATTTCTGATGGCAAAGGAAAGGTAGCCCTTCTCCTGAAGGACTCACTATTACAATGGGGGAAACAATATTTATGCAACATTCCAGAATACTTTTATGAATCAAACAGCAATAAATAGAAATTGAGATGAAGAAAGACTATAGCTATCTATGCTAATAAAAAAGGAATTAAAATCTCAATTGTTCATTTTAAAGTTCATTTTTGTTCATCTAAATTTAGTTAGTGGGCCCACTACTAAGATAGCAAATGTCTCTATGAGCGGCACCTTCCAAGACATCCAGGACTTTGGCCTTAATTCACCCAAAGAATGCATTATTATATATCAGCCTATATATTATTCAAAAAGCAGAAATTCTACTCACAGATTGTAAGCATATCATAGAACAAACTAAAGTCACACCTGCTAAGAACATGGAAATCATGATGCTAAAAAAGCTAGTGAAGGTAGGTTTTAAGGCTCAAACTTGCTCCATACTCACGGCAATTCGGTATTTGATGGAACTTGAGGAAACATTAGGGGAGACCTAATAGCTCACTGTGGAATCTTGCTTTGACCATAGATATTTCCTGGTATTGCCCACAAGAATAAGTATTTACACACTGAAGTCTATCAACTATTCCTATCTAATTCTCTACCTGTATTATGCTATTTGAATATCCCCTCATACCCACAAGGCATTACTGTACCATTTTATGATCACAAAATTGAAGCTTAAAGAGGTTATAAAACCTACTACAGTAAACTGCAGAGTGGGGCTTGAAGTCAAGTCTGTCTTACTTTAAAGTCTATGCAATTATACTGCCTTCATTTTCACGAATTCAATCCCATCCTGGTTGTGTTAAACAGTAAAGTACATGGCTCCACACTGAAATGACTAAAAAGTGGCTGTACTCCAGGTATCTGTGGAGGAGTATAACCTACAACTCAGTGTCCCTCAGTCATCATCCAAAGATGAGAAACCAAATTCATGGAAAACTGAAGGATATACAGTTTACCACCTTCTAGAAAACCTAAAACCCGGACATTCGGTGAGCTATGAGCATACTGGTCCCCAGTAACATTGCTTTGCTAAAATGTACTTGGTTGGGCTGCTGTCAGCAGATATTGAGGTATGTCATCAGAAAAAAAAAATCAACTTGTCACTCAGCATTGCTTAAAATAATGATATGGTCATGGCTGACACTTTAAAAAAAGCCCTGGTCTAATCTGCTATCTGTATTTCATAAGACAATGAAAACCGAATGACTCATCACTCACCCAAGGATATATTCACAGAGAAGTCTACAGTAATCACTGTGAGAACTGGTAATTAACAGAAGAATTTTCCCAGCATTCTTTAGCTGTCGAAGCCACTTTTTCACAGATTCAGGACAACTGTGTAAATATCTGCCTGGATCTCTTTTTATTTCTGGAAAATATATTCCACAGTTTTCTGAAAAATAAAAATATCATTGAGGTTTCTCTTTTTAAAGATTTTTTAACTAAATGTATTCTCTAACAAGTTAATCTCTTTCAAATCTGTAGATAAAACTAAAAGGATAAGAACAAAGTTTGACCAACCTAGCAATTATGCCAATACTACTTGCTTTTTAAGAATAGTTCTTTACTTGAAAACATATTATTGTTTGAAAATGTTAGTTGATAATATTCGCTGGCTATTTGACAAGAACTGATAAACTGTTAAAACAGGTAACACAAGAAACACAATATGATCAACATTTTCAAATGCTGTAAGAGAAAACCTTACATGTGAAATATCAATTGGTTACAAATATTCTTTTAATTATTCAATGAATATTTGCTGAATACAGATAAGAAACAAATTAACATTCAGATATTGCACCAGGATCATGTCTTTGGCATAAATAGCCAAGAAGGGCGATGAGTTCCTCAGAGTCACAGTTTGCTATTTCAGATGGAACCTATACTAGGGGAGCCATTCTATAGCCTCTGAGAAGTGCTGAGATATCAAATGGAAAAATTGGTGTAAAATAGGCCAGAACAGGCCAAAAGGCACTGTAGTTGACAGGGAACATTGAATGACTCGCATCACTGAAGTGGGACTGCTTACTCTGCCCTTTTAGAGTGTCCATGGGGTCTGGCTGAGCTCCAGGGCAGATGGTGGCAGTGTTTCCAGATGTCTTGGCCAGACTTACCCACAATGCTTGACCCAGTGCTTTTTAAGTTGTGGGTACTCAGCAGGCAATTGCAGATTTCGTTGAAATGCTACTAGATTCATAACACCTTTTAGAAATATTGCTCTCAGAGCATGATAGAACTAATAAGCAGATAAAAATAATCCAAGATTTTACTTTCTCTAATTGTTACGAAAAGGACACATGCATAGACAATAAAAAAATAGCTTAAACAGCTTGTACTGAATGATAGAGTCTGCAGTAGCTAGATATGGGATACATCTGTGACTCTGTCCAGTGTGATACACTTGAAATACTTGAAAGTTATATTTCAAGAACATCAGCACATCAGGAAGAAGAGTCTTTTTTTTTTTTTTTTTGAGACGGAGTCTCACTCTGTCACCAAGCTGTAGTGCAGTGGTGTGATCTCTGGCTAACTGCAACCTCCGCCTCCCGGGTCCAAGCGATTCTCCTGCCTCAGCCTCCTGAGTAGTTAGGACTACAGGCGCCACCATGCCCAGCTAACTTCTGTATTTTTAGTAGAGACGGGGTTTCACCATGTTTACCAGGATGGTCTTGATCTCTTGACCTCACAATCTGCCTGCCTTGCGCTCCCAAAGTGCGGGAATTACAGGCGTGAGCCAGTGCCCGGCCAGGAAGAAGAGTCTTTAGTGCAACAAAACGAACAAATAAAAACAAAAATGGTAGCAAATGTTGTGGTCTGCCTCCCCACATCCATCTCCCTCTTTGCTGGGGAGTACTCTGATATTGTTTCAGGTTTCATCTTCCTCTGAGGGGGTCTGTGATGCTAGCAAGGGCAAGGGTCTCTATCAGTCTACACCTATCACAGTTACTCCCTTCTCCTGTCATTGAATTGTTTAGGAAGTGCTGGGGACCCAGGCATGGCAAATGAGACCTGAAGGGAACTCTGCTGCAGGATCCTAAAGTAATATATACCACCGATAAAAAGAAACCTATAAAGGGGGAAATATCCCCACTTCTACTACTGGACTTTACCATTATTATAAATTCTATGTAGAACTGCAGTGGTTATCATCAACACAAAGCACAAGTCTGATATATCAGAGATAGCGGAGTGGACATATGAAAGGAAACAAACCTGGGTCCCTGATGATATCACTGGGTTTCTGCTTTTGTTTCTGTTTTTGACACAGGGTCTCGCTCTGTTGCCCAGACTGGAGTGCACTGTGGCACAATCATGACTTACTGCAGCCTTGAACTCCTGGGCTCAAGTGATCCTCCCCCCTCAGGCCTCTAAAAGTGCTGTGATCACAGGTGTGAGCCACTGTGCCTGGCCACCATTGGATTTCTGATTAAGTCACTGACGAACTCTAACCACCACTGGAAGTACTGTTCAACTTCTGGACAACTTCTAGTTGTACAAAATAACTCATTTTAATAATAGCTTAAACATTAAGGATATTTATTATTTGCAACCTAAAGCATCGTGACTCAGAAATGTATTTCATGAATATCATAACCAGACCAAAAATTACAAAAGAAAGAATATGTTGCAATATGAGAATATTTAGAAGACCAAAAACAAAAACAAAGTTTTTGCTCTTTTTATATTTTGCCCTACAGGAACTTTTGTGTGTGAATCTCTAGGATCTCTTTTTAACATACCAGAGGCTATATAATACTCCTTTAAAAAATTAAAATATATTCTCTGTTTTCCAGGGAAGAGGAAGTACTAGTAAGAAAAGGCCAGTTTAAGAAACAGATGATAATAATAAATGCAAATGGCCAAGAACAGAAAAGTTTGATGAGTGGATGACTGCTAATTTCAGAGGCTGTGTCTCTCTCGGAACTTACTATACCTAAGGGGGTCAGATGTGAGATTATCTCACTTTGTAAAACAAAGCTTTTGTAGCAAGAAGAATTTTATGGGTTACATAACAAAAAAATTTATAGTGTGTAATGCTGAAAACAGGCTTGTTTTCAGAAAACTTGAGAAAAAGTTATTTTTTCTTAGCTATATGTGCTTAGTGCCATCTAGTGATCAAAATATAAATTACTATTAAAAAGCTGCTGTTAACATTTCCAAAGGAATAAAAATATAAGACGTATGCATTTAAATACAATATTTTAAATTTCTTACCTAGGCTAATTTCATTAGTATCTCTTAATTAGTAATGTCTGATTGAAAAGAGTACAAATATAATAATTTAATCAGATAAAATTATTCTCTGAAGTCATAATGGAGATGTCCTTGGTTTGTTCATAAGCCAGACTGAAATGGACAAACTAAGACAAGCCCTGTACAAACACATACCCAGTGGTAGATAATGAGTTGCTCTTACTACAAAAGATCACTGGCTGCCATGGAGAAAATATTTTTGCCCCCTTGTAACCTCCAATTATTTAAGGAATAGGAGACATAATTATACAAATAGAAACATCTTTTTATTGAAATAAGTCAAGGTATTAAATCAAATAAGAGTTATGTTAAACATACTACAATGGATTATAACTGTCTATTAAATTATATCCCCAAAGAAACTATAAACTTCTAAAGGCAAGAAATATATCTTTCTGCTTGGCATGGAGCAAGTATTCAACATATGAATACCTAAATTAGTACAGGAGCAGACACAGGAACATTTATATTTCCCTACATTCAAGGCAAGAGTTTGATTAGTACCAGAGAGCCAAACTGAAGTGACAAAAATAATATCATTCATGTACAATTAAGGCAGCCTATGAAAAGTCATGTTTAATTATGATACTAATTAACACTGATTGAACAAAATGGAATTTAGACCTAAGATGGAAAGGAGTGGTATTGTTTGTTCTTAACTCACAAAGAAGCCTGTGTTTTCACTTAACCTCTAAAGGAATTCTATTTCACTGCCACTTTATGTAACTTATTTTCCTGGTTTTTCCACCACTCTTAGATCCTTTGATGCTGGTATTTTCTAGGTCCAGAGGAGATTTAAAGGACATTCTTTTAAAAAGCTGATTCTAAAGAATAAAAGTTCAGCCTCCTATGTTAGAAAATTGGTTAATGTAGAGTGACAGAAATAATACCAAAGTGTTGGCAACAGTCTGATATGCACATCAAATGGCCTGAATACACCAAAGAGGATTTAGGGACCTCTCGTGGTAAAAAAATATAGTACAACCTGAATATTAAAAATCCTTTTTTTTCAGTTTAACAGACAATTGTGCCACATCACTATTTCTATCATCACTGAATAAGCTTTTTCTTGCTAACTGTATCACTACTGTTTGCATGATTTTTGGCCAGAATTTTCCAAGCTGCTGTCCGAGGGGACTAGAGATGCCAGGATGCTAACACTTCCATGGTCAGCCTCCAAATAAGGTCTGTTGTTGTTTCCATTGCATAGTATAATTTAGAAGAGATTTAAATATTTATAATCTTTACAAGTTATATAAGAGTATGCTAGTGAACAGCTAAAATGTTTAGCGATGAACTGTTTAAATGTACTTGCTGTAGAGATGATATAATTAATTTTCTGTAAAAAAGAAACTTTTTTCTTTGCTAAAAGACGCTGAAATATTTGTTGGAGGATAAAGGAGACATTTATTTTGTTTATTTATAGGTGGCAAAAAATAAAATTAAAATTTATTAAAACATATTTGCTGTTTATATAACAAAATATATGGTTTATATCTAATTTTATAATTAACTAAAGAAATCTAGAATAGATTGTTTAAATTGAAAATCTATATGCTAAATATAATGCTTGGAAAGTCTCTCAAATAAAAACTGGGAAATGTACAGAATATATGAAAAAAACATAATATATAAAATTTACATTTTAATAGGATCTGATTTCCAGCTCTGTAATTTAATTTGCATATCCTGGCCCTACTCCAAAAATTCTGATTTAATTGGTTTGGGGTAGGGCCACAACATTGGTATTTTTTTTTTTTTAAAGCTTCCCAGGTAGTCCTAATGTGCTACCAGGATTAAGAATTGTTGCCCTAAAATATAAAAACTAGAATTCTTTCTATTATTTTCTTTGTATTTTGCCTGCTTCGCTGGAAATCACAGGCTCTCAGAGGGCAGGGACTTCTGAGTTTTGTAGTGTCTTCATTACCTAACGCATAGCCTTGTACGTATTAGGTAGTCAACAAATCATAACTGTTGCCAATTATCTTAAATGTTATTGTGGTTGATGATCTTTAAAATGTTTACTCTTATCCTATACCAATTAAGCATGGTATTCTAGATTTAATTAAGTATTGTGAATACAGAATAATGGATTTCATTCCTCCTATGAAAGGAGGATTCCTGGAAAAAGGGTAT